ACTGAGACTATTACTCCTGAAATATAATCTTCTACTGACAGCTTCAAATTGTAATAAATGATGTTTTACGCTTGAATACTCAAGCTCAACAGTTTCTTTGCTTCAAAAAATCTGTCATGTACACATTTTAAAGGCACTTTTGTTCCTGTTTGCTGGCAAACACATAAAGCTGTTGGCTTTGTTTATTCCAGACTTTATCACCATCTACAACCACGATCACTCATTATTTGATGTTTGTAACTGTAATGAACAAAAACTGGCTTGTGAGTGATCAAACATTCATGTATTTTCTCAGAATCAGAGAGATTTAACAATGCTTCACGATAATAGATAGGCGTTGTCATCAGTAGTTAAATAATCTGTTCTCTCTCAAAATGATTCACAGCAGCCATCATAAAATGTTTTACCACACACTCATTATTAAGCACTAAATAGAAAACAGTTTTTTACAAAAAGCAATTATGTTCTTTTATATGTCCTGTCAAAATCATTCATTTTTGAGACAGTCCAGTGTGTTGTGAAAGGGTTTTACGTAGGAGTTGGTGAATTCTCAGCACCATAAAGTTACTGGTGCCAGTCTGAATGATCTTCACCACTTCAAGTCAGAGTTACCCAGAAGTTATTTTATTGGACTCTCGGCAGACTTTACACAGAACGTGCAATTTGAGTTCAGGTTTTACCGCCCTGGAACAGCAATATGTGTGTGAGTGCTTTTATTCCATCAGCTAATAGTTTTTTTATACAGTTTCTCTAATTTGGGCTGTTACCTTTATGTGATGGGACATATCAGCCCTGTCTCCTAGAAATTACATTTATATACTAACTTATTTCTAACAGTAAATCAATTTTGAGGGAAACGTAATGCACATCAAATTATATTTTCGATTAATATAATAATGAAATGTTGTTAATTAACGTACCTGGCAATTTGCAAAAATGTTGATACTGAAAATATATTATATTATGTGTTTTGATTAAAAAAAAAGGACAATCTTGCTACTATCCACTCGTAGTGACTACAGTATTATTCAAATGTCAGATCTTTTGTGTGTTTTTTGTTGCAGGAGTGTGGATGCGAACCCTGGACGGACGGTGGTGTGACAGTCCTGCACTGTACGCCCACTACACACCCATATATCTACCTCCTTGTTAGTCCACTGCGTTACATAAATGCAGTATGTCAAAATGTGCTGTCTCTGAACATAATATGAAAGTAATTTCTAGGAGACAGCTGACTTTTGGATTGTTTTGGCAATGATAATGTCAACCTGTGGATTAATGTGTGTATTTTCTATGTCAGTTGGTCCAGACTAAAAAGTGGTGGTGCAGATATCTGGGGTCAAATTCCAGAGCCTGTCTTCATACATGCTGAAGACATCAATCTTTAAAACCGATCACATAAACATACTTCTGTATTAAGAAAAAAAGGCAAAATAGTTTTCTAAAACAGCCGGGCATTGTAGTTTTTAGCAAAACTCAAACAGTAGTGCATTTGTTAGGGACTATTTTTAGCAACGTATTAAATACAGTACATATTTGGTGCTTTAGTGAGTATTTACAGTAACAGGTTGGTGTATGTGAAATGAAGGAATATGTTATCCAGTGCCTCAACCCTTGTGACTCACTGTTTAAACAGTTTTTGAACAACAATGCAGCTCTATGGCACAGAGAAAGCTCAGGTTACACAGACAATACTGATTACTAAGATCAGTTAATTGTAAGTTTTGGTCTTTTCTCACATTGTTTGGTCAAGGCTTCTTAGATGCCATCAGACTATTGTGTGTTCCCAACTTTGTGGCAATAGTTTTGGGAAGGGTTTTCCCAGTTTGGTGTGGAAGGTCTTGACTGGTCTGCACAGAGCCCTGACCTCAACCCTGTCCAACACCTTTGGGATAAACACAGACTGCGAGCTGGGCCTTATCACCAAACATCAATATTCGAGCTCATTAATGCTCTTGTGGTTGAATGAGAGCAACTCCCAAACACCTTCACAGAAGAGAGAAAAATTTCTTTTGGTGTCCACATATTTTTGGCCATGTAGTGTTTCTGAAAACATAAAAATCACCAAATTTGAGGATATGTGGTTTTCACGGGGCCTGATGTTGATGCCAATTATTGTAATCATTACCATCATAATTGAAATGCTCATTTATCAGGCAGTGCAATATTGTGCCGAATAAATAAAAGTTTTGTTGTTGTCATTAAAGTTTCTTGTTGTTTCCATTGGCAGTTTTCTCCCTCCTCACTCCCTTATCTCCTCTCTTTCTCCTCCCTTTGTCTTCTGCTCTACTACTCCCGTGACTCAACATCTGGATGCAGCACCCTCTAATGATCACCCAGCACACTGCAATGACTCACAGCCAGCCAGCCAAGAACACACACACACAAAGACAAAACACACTCAACCTCTCATCTCCAACTCCTCAGAGAGACACGTTGCAATGTTTTTTCTCTTTCCCTCGCAGGCCCTATTGAACAGTCTTTATGCCTTTTCTCAGCCGTTCTTCGCGCTCTCTCATTTCCTCCTCTTTGCCTTCGCTTGATGTGTGTGCCGTCTGACAAAAGACACACTTCCTCTCCTCCCTTCAATCTTTTCATCTTTGTCTCATTCCCTCCTTCCTTGTTGTCTGCCATAGAGAGATCACTGAGACAGGAACCATAAATAGGCGGCCCGGGCGGGTGCTGCTTCTTTTTAAACCCGCCATCAAAGATATTCATCATCATCAGGCTATTGATAATCAAGCACTATTGAGCTCTTTTATCCCCTAAGAGAATCATGCACTCACACATACGTCTTTCTCCATCCAATCCACCTGTCCCATTGTGCCAGACACCTCTGACAAGCTTTTTTTCTCCTTGCTGACAACAAAGGAGTGTATAAGAGATAGAAAGACACTGAGGGGGAGTGTGAGGAGGAGGGCTGAATGAGGCCTTCGACGGGCAGACCTCAGAGGAGAGTGCTTTACTCTTTGTGCTATATAGAGAACTGTCACTCAACACTTTGGGCCCGTCAGACAAACGGTCTCTCGGTAGATAACGTCCCATCTTTGTCTTTTGCCACTGTTAAGAAGAGAGGTTAAATAACTAAGACTGAGCCAGCTGTAATCAGCTCTGCAAATTGCAAACCAGACATTGCTGATAACTGACAAAGGTTGCCTTGCTCAAGGAACTGGCCACCTCTCCCGAAGCTTTAACCAGTCCACACCTCCCATAATTTTGTGGTCCTGTGGGACTTGAACCGGAAGACCCCGGTTCCCAAGCAAAAGTCCCTCCGCCCCCACACACTCCAAGATGTGTATTAAAAGCACATCTGGTGTAAATATGAGCACCTCCTTGCCAATTTAAGGTCGAGCAGCGACAGGTAGAGGGAAGAGGGAGGTTATGCAATGAGCAGGCAGCAAGAGAGAAAAATATAAGGAAGAGTGAATGGTTTGGGTTTTGGGGTAAATGATAAGAGCTGTGGGGGGCTTCAGTCTCCTGAAGGGTCTAATTAACAGTTTAATGGGGTCCTGGAGCTCAGAGAGAGCAGAAAGGAGCACAGGCCTCTTGCTTCCAGCCACAGACTTAATGGATTCAGCCGGCGTACAACAGAGCCGAAAAAACTCGATGTGTCAAGGAGTAAAGGTGATGGAGGGAAGGATGGAGGAATAGAGAGAGTAAAGGGAAATATGGAAAGGAGGTGGAAATAAAGGTGAGAAGTGGACAAAAAGCAAGAAAAATTGGAAGGGAAATGTGGGAAGTGGGGGAAACAAGAATGACTATCTCACTCGTGAAAAAGGGAAAGGAGACTTATCAGTGAGACAGTAAAACACTGCCTTCAGGCAGCTGTCAGCCAAGCTTCATCGAAGCATCTTTCTCCCCTCTCTGTCTCTTACTCACTCACTCACTGCCTTTCCCACTCCGCCATCAAAATACAGCAAATCAATCACCCTCCTGCAGCTACAACTCCTCCTGTTTAATACCCATCTATGACGTGACATCTGGCATCTGATACCTTTTGATTAACAGGAAGCTGATAAATACAACATGCTATAGTTTACAACAAAATGATGCCTGGGGGTGGAATCCACCACTCGCAGCCACACAGCTACACTATTCAGCTCGGTTTGGATGCTTCTCGTGGTGGATAGGTGTAGGAATGCAACCATTTGGCTGTGTGTGTGTGTGTGCTCTAATATGTGAGGGTGTTCATTTGCATGTGTGTTTCTATGTGTGATAGTTGCTTCTATAAATAAAAGGTGTTGATGATGGCAGTTAAGCAATTAAAGGAAGGAAGGGAAAATGAGCGGAAAGCACAGAGCGTGAGAGGAAGAAGGGATGGAGCCATTTTGCAACTCAAAAGAGAAAAAGTATAGATTAAGAATCCGTCTGGTGTCATCAATCTCCTCTTTACAATCTAACTACACAGCTCACTGCTCTCCATCTCCATTCATCAATGAGATACATGCTAAATCATAGCAGGAAAAACCTGCTGCTCTTCAAGTACGCGGGAATGATTGATTGAAGCGCAGATTGCCCATAGCACTTGTCTCCCCTCGCAAAGTTTCTCTTCCCATAACTCTGACTTTTCCCAGCCAGGGATTAGAGGAGCTGATGAGGGTCGATGGCTGCAGTCATCGCTGATAATTCACCCATCTGTATTGCTCATATCCAAATATTTGCATGCAGCGAGTTGCTTGCCAAAGTAGGTTCCACCGCTCTGACCTACTTAAGTTGTTTTAAGCTGAATGACGCTGGTGTGGAAGAGTTCTGACTAAGACAGGAGGCTGTGAAAAGCAGGGGCTTCTGCTGACAGGGTATTCGTTTTATAATCTTTTTTTTCTTGCTTCCCTAATTGCTCATTATACTGTTTGGGACAAATGTTATATCAATACATCTGGAACACAACATATATTTTTTGTGTAATCTATGTGGCATAGCAAGAAGGCAGACTTCTCTAGCTTTGGTTCAAACTCCAGAGTGGAGATGGGCGAGTGCTGAAATGATCGGCTCATTATTACCTTGTATGGTATGACAACTGCAGAGCCACCACTGATGCCCACGATTGGCAGTGCTGTCTGAGTGGAGAGGAAGTCCAGGATCTGTGCCACTTCGGCCACCTGAAGACAAAACAGACAGATTCAGTGTTTGCATGAAAGTTGATTACCATGATGAAACAGCCTGAGTCATGCGTCAAACCAAAAAAAGCACTCAAGCCCGAAAGTTCATTCTTGACCTTGGAAACAGCCAGTTGATAAATAATCTCACCACAAGGTCCACTCACTAGTTTTCTGAAGCTTTCAATTGTTGTACTTTTAAACCTCAGTCCTTAATGGTATCATGTGGATTTTTTTCAAAAAAAATTCAAAACGTTTGGCTTTGTAAATGTTTTATGAGGAGGGAAATGCATCTAACACGTTTGTTTGACCTCTACAATATGCAGCTGAGAAGCTGAGAAGCTGAGAAACACTGAATGTTTACAAGAAAACTCCTTAAGGCACCTTCAAAATGCTCAGGAAAATGATCTATAATTGCACAATAACTGGGCAAACTCCATCTGCTGGTGAACATCATGAGATACAATCAAAGCTCCAGAACAGCTAAAAAGGGAAAAGAAAAAAAGGGGGACCAGGCGATTTTGCATGTAACAGGTTTGAACTGTATAAATTATTGTGATTTCAAAGCAAACATCATGTTATGTAATGTCACAAATTACTCAGACTTACAGTTCATATTAGTAGCTGATAGAAGTCAGGGGTGGACGTAACAAATTACATTTACTCTCGTTACTGTAGCAGAGCAATCTTGTGTAAATCAGTAAAGTGCATTTGTTTCAGGTACTAAAAAGTAAAAGTAACTTTTTTTACACCAGTAATTTGTATTTCTTTATAGTACCAGAATGTTGAGCACTCCCTCCCCTGGAGGCCATTTAGATTTTGCTTTTACGATTTGATGTCACTTCTTCTCCCTTTACAATCTGAAACCATACCAGCACTGTAATTTAATTTGAGTATAGATAGTACATGCTTGGCATCTGAATTAGTCCTTCCTGTTTTTTTGCAGCCCCACTTTGTGATTTAAGCTGACAGGACAGGTGCTTTTTTACATAAAAATGTTACTTTGTGCAGCTTTAGGAAACACAGATGTGGGTGACTGAACACCGTGACTCTTGAGAGGATGTTTTATCAGAAAACCTAAAAATGCATAAATCATTTTTACCTGAGCCCCAGCACCCGAGCCCACATCATCCTCAAACACCACGCCGTGCAGTCTCTCTGTTGCCATAGTATCGCAGAGGCGTGTCAGAAGGTCACGGGGGTTGGTGTCGTTGACCAGCACGGTCACTGGGCTGACCACCACGGGCAGGTCGACAAAGTTTTCCCCGCTGAGACGACCTCTGACCTCGTTCTGGTAGCTGGAGCCGCTGAACACCACCGCCACGTTGATTGATGGGTGGACGAGGAGCGGCCGGGCCTGCAGGGGGAGCGGGGAGGAGATGAGGAGCAGGAGGAAGAGGAGGAGGAGAAGGAGAGGAGGCAGGAGAGGGAGGAGAATGTCCCCTGGGAATGGCCATGTTGGCAGCCATAACTGCCCTGGAAAGGAGGAGGAGAAAAAAGGGTGAGGAGGAAGGGAGAAGAAGGGAAGAGAGCAAGAGTCAAAATACAGCCTGTTACTTTTATGATGATTTTGACCATAATTCATCATAAATCGTCTGTAGCATGTCCCATCCCTTGATTTCTTCTACCAGGTCTGTCTCACTTCTCTCTGACCCTTTTGTTGATAGTAATTACCCTGCATTGTAGACTCTTTGTGTATAAGGAAAACTGTGTGTGGGTGTGTGTGTGTGGTGTTGGTGTGTTGTGTGGTGTTGTGTGTCAGCGTGTTGCAAAGTGTGGCGGTGCATGTAATCTCCCATAATCCAACCCCCAAGTGGTCATGACTGTAACACCTTTTCATCTCTACACATCTCTGATTCAACACGCACACACACACGGGGGGAGTACAAGCAGGCGATGCCCAAAACTGCCCACACAGGTCCCTCCGACCCTCCATCACTGGGATTACATTACATTACATTAACTTCAGCCAGCGAAATGATTCCATCGGCCAAGCACAGATAATATAAGAAATGAAAACTGCCATAACATCCTCCCATTAAACAAACCATATGGCAGGTGCAAATGTAAAACAGTTTTCAAGTTTTAATTTGAATTACATAACGTGTTTACTGGATAACAGTTACAGTTTTTACTTCACTACGGTTTATTGGATCACTGGTTTTGTTTTAGTTTTTACCACACATTAATGAAGGTTTAACACAAGTTTATGGTAACTTAAATATACTGTCCATACACTAGGTCCAGTGTGTAGGAAATGTTTTGGCATCTAGCGGTGTCGTTGCAGTTGCACCCCGAGAAAGAAACTGGCCAAGTGGCCACAAAATGGCGCCAAAAAATGCGAATGGTCCTATCCCTACAGCCAGTGTTTGGTTGTTCCTTCAGAGCTAGAACTGCAAAATGATTTTCAACTGAGGCACAGAGAGATTTTTTCACTTTTAAGTAAAGATGTAAAATGTGAAAACATCCTTCTAGAATCAAACTCTGCACATACTACATAAAAAAAAATAGTGAAATGATAAAATTATTGGAGATTGTTGGGTCATTTCCTTTTTTATAATGTGTCACTGCCGTGATCAACACCTGATTTTTGGTGTGCATTTAACGTTCAACTCAAAGTATACCTTCAGAATTTGCATCTTTAGCAAGCTACTTCAATCAAATGTTTGCTTTTTGAAGATATTTCCTTATTGAATCAATACCTTTGAACCCTTGATAGAGACAGGTGGGCTTATAGCAAATAAAGATCTCCACATAAACAAACATATTTGGAAAGGGATTTTATATAGAGTGTCGGTCTCATCTATGGCCATCAGAGACACCCTGATAATTAACAGCACCTCCCAGCTTTGATTCTACTTTCAAAGCAACACTGGGTTAAATGTGTCCCACCCCTTCATGCTCCTGGCATATCAATCATTCATCTTAATGAGGTTTTAAGCTCCTGGGCTTTAGGTGCCCACAGCAATAAATATACAGTTTGAACCTTTTAAAGACAATCTACCTTTTATTAGATGCTGATAGATATTGACCTTTAGTCAATACCTGGTTATAGCTGGAATGATTGACATGGAGCAGCCTTTATTAAAGATTACTCTATAGATTTGTGTGTTTTTGTTGATGTGATGTTTGGTTAGACAGCTCAAAGACATTTTGATTACGTTAGCATTTGCAAAAGGTGTTGCACATTTTCTTTTGTGAAACTGAATTATGTATTAGAAGTGTATAGAGCAGTTTCATCTGCATATAGTGACATTTTTAAAATTTTAGCTGTGGTATCAAGTCTATATAGACAGGTGTTTATTGGAGGTTACCCATAAAATCACTCAAAATCTGACATATGATCTATTCCCCTGGGAGTTTATGCAGATTTTATAGTCTGCAGAAGGCTGTGTTACACTTCTCCTCTTGTTAATCCTGGGATTGCTTGTTTTGATGCACTGAGATCCCTTTATTTGTCTCCAGTGAATCATTATATCTAGATGTGAGCACAGAGCCGCCGTTAACCCACCACCCACTTGTGCTAGGTGGAGATTAAAAACAAACAAACCCCCCACGCAACAAAACTCTGAAAGGAACAGGTTCTAAGTGGCATACAGGAGACAAACCGCATCCAATTGTGGTTTAAATAATCTTCAAAATAAAAGACAAAAAAATTGTACTGTAGAGATATCAACATTTATGTACAGCTAAAGAACAGGTAACCACATATAATCCTCAGCCAACTCTTTTATTTATCAACCACAGCAGTGCATATGGCTAATTTTACATTGCATTAAATTAATACTGTATACAGAGACAACTTGATGTCCCTTGGGTTGTGAGATGTTGTTGCTTGCTACATTATTAAAGTTTGTGGATCTTCATATTCTGAGATAGATTTATAAACAAGCTGCAAATATTCAGAGTAATTACACTGAGTGTCTGCTATTCGGAGGTATCTAAACATGAAGATTTTGTGGAGATTGTTGGATATTGGTAAACATTAACATTTTATGTCTAGGTTTCTTTTTAATTCTGTAGTTTATGCAACAATAAGTATATGCATGTAAAATCACACTCTTCACTGCTACACTACCACAAATCCTTTATGAAGTATAATTTATTGACTCAAATCCTTTTGTGAATTACTGCTTTTCTTGTGTTATTTGTTGTTCAGAATTCAGGCTCACTGCATTTGCAAACAGTAGTATACAAATGACACTAATGCAGGAAAAGTAATGAGTTTTAACTAGGGATGCACTGATTGGAAAATTGGAAAACCAACTTTTAAAATAACAATTTGGCCCATAGCAGATGCCAGTACAGATGTTCTGTTGTTGTTATTTATTCACCCTTTTGTGAAGGGAAACAAAGAAATTTACAATTATAAAGATCTCCCTCTTGTTGCAGCTTATTCAAGATGTGAGACACAAAGCTGAACAGCCTCTCAGCTCTGTGAGTAATAGTAAGTAATAGTTTTAGTAATCATATAACTCAAAATATAAACTTAAAGGAACAGAACTGTGGAGGGAAAGGGTAATCATGGAAACAGGATGAAAGAGACAGAGAGAATATACGAGTGCTCACTGGGTGGATCATATGACTAGAGAGCAGGTCAAGTTGCGGTAACAGTGTAATCTCTGGAAAAAGGCAGCATAACCTCAAGGCCTCAGATTAGCAGTGTGAGTGTGTACGTGTGTGTTTGTGGTGGGGGTGGTGGTTAGGAAGTTGATAGGGTGTGTGGGTGTGTCTGCTCCAGATTAGCAGCAATACAACAGAGTGTGTCTACGGCATAGAAAGGATGTGAACAAAAGGGACAGAGCACAATGTGTTGCA